GATGACCGCAGCCTGCCTTACCTCCACGTTCTTTCCACAAGAGAGTTACTTTGGGACTTCACAGTCCATTTCCTGCCAAAACAGTATGTTCTAAAATACAATATAGAGAAAGGAGAAAGAAGAGGCCCAGTGGTATTTTACATATAATCATGAATTAAATGACTGAACAGAGTCCCCAGTCATGATTTCCTGAGTAATTTTAAGCCTGGGGTGACATTCCCTTCTCGGTCCCCACTTCTCTTGGAAGAGTTATTTCCACCCACTCTTTGGGTCTCATGTTACATGCAGTTTCCACAGGGAATTTACTATTTTAAAGATAATCAACTATTGGAGTCCATGAGTGTGTGACTCTAGCTTCTCTTGCATTTCAGTAAATGTCAGGAGTTGACAATTCGTCCGGTGTTGTCGTTTAAGCCCCCGCAGCATGCCCCCGGGGAGATCCAGGGAGCTGGGGCTCCTGCTCCTCGCACATGTGCGTGCCAGCTGCACTTCAGTTTTGCCAACAGTCCCACAACAGGTACCTGTAGGTGCCCCCGGGAGCCGAGGGCTGGTTTCACGGGGAGTGAACAGTTCCTGCCTCTGTCCTCACAGTGCAACCATGGTGTGGGGGTGGGGGGTGCACCATAGCCCCAGAGAACGAGCTCCAGACAGGCTGGGGAGATCCGCTATTCAAGGGCAGGCAGCAGGAAAAGACACTAGCATGGAGCAGAGAGTCAAGGGCAGAGGGACAGAGTGCGGGTCGCGGAACTCTGGGGGAAAGCGGCCTTGGGGAACAACGAAGGAGAGGAACCTGAAGACAAATTCAGAAAACTGCTTGTCTCAGTAGGACACAGAAGACTGGTTTCCAAGAAAAAGCAGCCGAGCCTGGAGGAGTAGGAAGGCTGTGGTGGTGGAACAACAGGGGCCCAGGGAACAAGGGGCGATGGGAAACCGAAGCTGCGCCATATGGAATCTGCCTCGGAGGCAGCAAAACACAATAGGGACCTGTGATGCTGCGGCGCCTGGACATGGCGCCGCAGGAAGGCGAAGAGAGGCACCCGGTTGGTGCTCAGGACAGGCAGGGTGTTGGGGTTTGGGTAGACAAACCCGGGCAGAGACAGAGCCACCGCAGTGTTGTGACCGAAGAGGCTGTGGAAAGGGCTCCCTGCTCCCAAGTGAGACCAGAACAGAGACATCATGAGGAAACCGGTGAACTGCCAGCACTGGAAAGCAGGCAGGCTGCCCACCACAAGTGGCCACACAATTCGATCCACTGCGGCTGCCCACAGACCTCTCTGCAGGCTGCGGTTGTAAAGGCACTGGGGCAGCAGCCTGTGGGCTTGAGGAGAAATGTTGTGAGCTCAAGTCTCCGGCTTGCTTGTTTGTTTGGAGTGCGTGAACGCCGGTCACAAACCTGTACACTGCCATGTGTGATGCAGCTTGGCAGCTTAGAACACATGGAGAGGGTGGGTTAGGTTCGGCGGGTAGTCATCCAATGCCAGCAGCAGAGGCCCCCCCCAACCCTGGCAGTTCAGGGGAGACTTCCCCAGGCTCCATGCCGTAGCCTGACTGCCTTCTCTGGTGCTGGCAGCCATAGACCAGCCACGTCCACAGCCCAGCCTCTGCACTCCAGAACAGGCTTTACAACACGCGTCTTTGTTCTTTCCCATAAACCAGAGGTGCCCCGGACAAGCCAAAGGCCTGTAAAAATCCAATGTAACGAGTCTGAAGAATTATACTATGCAATGTTAAAAACCATAACAAAATTCACTGGATTTCTTTCAATAGAAGAGACAAATAAACTGACTGGCGACAGAAATGATCTGCTATTAAGCACCCTTTATATGCTGTCTTAAATCTGGGACTTGCAAACACTTTTGTCAAGCCTGGGAGAATGAGCTCAGCAGGACAAAATGTGACAAGGTGAGGAAGACCTGCTGTGAGCTGTGACTAGTGCTTGTATCTTCTCTCTCACACTATGTATATGCAGACACACACACACACATGTATGTATATACACACACAGTGTATCCTATACGAGCACAAATTATATAATCAAAAGAAATAAATTTTTTTCTTCCAGAAAAGAAGGAAGCTGGAGTGGTGGTAAGGGTCCCACAGAGCTGTCCCTGCTCCCACTGGCCTTGAGCCTCTTATCGCCCCACACCAAGGAGACTTGCTCCTACAAGACAAATGGTTTTGTTCCTTAAGAAGGGTTGGCCTGGGGAAAACTGCCTCCTGGGAATTGAGGCGTGTGTATGTGTGTGTGTGTGTGTGTGGTTTCTTGTAAAGTGCTTCGTACGTTCTTTGGGGGAACCATTGCATCCTGAGACCCCACCATAAGGTCTTATTTGCCCGGAATGGCTGGTTTCCCAGGCATCAGACCTTGGGGCAGAAACAGCTGGAAGCGCCGACCCCTCCCCCGCTAGGAAGCACATCGTGATTAACTGAGAATTCTTTACAGCCGGGCTGGAGGAAGCTTTTGGCTGTAAACTGTCATGCACTGCAGGCTTCTCTGAAAAGGCCCAGAGGTGGGAGACGCTTGTCCCGAGGGTCAGGGCACAAAGATGCAGAAACCCGGGCACAGGGAGAAGAAGACAAGAAGCCGGGGAGCTCCGGCCACCGCGCTGTCAGTGGCCGCCTATGCCCCCCCCCCCCCCCACCCGCCCGGTTCCTGCGGTGCAAGTTCTGGATCTGCTCTGGAGCGCTGCCCTGGTTCTCTGCGAAGCGTGGACGGGTCATTGTGCGTGTCTGAGGTGTCATGGTCTTCCCAGCCGGGTTTTTATTCGTAATCGGCCTTGCTCCCTTCGGTTTGTGGAGCCGAACTGCAATCAGACCCGCGGTTCTGGAGCGACGCGGTCAGCCCTCCAGTATCCGGGAGCTCTTCTGGACTTCCGGGGAAACCCTCCCCGAGGCGGTCAGCGCCCAGGGACCTCCCGCCGTGGGGGTCAAGGGGCGTGAGCAGCTTCCCCCCGCGCCGGGGGTCTCAGGGATCCTCTGTGGCCTGGGACCCAGAGTTCTTCGTCTGCCGCCTGCCACCCACCCTGTCCCCTTTCCTCCAAGTGCGGAGCACAGGGCCGTCTTAAGGCCGCAGGGATGACCCTTTAGATATTTTTATTCCCCCGGAAAACACAAGCTCCAAAAGCCCATGGCCCCAAGAGTCGGGTGGAAGGCGACTCAGAAGGGTCCGGGTGTCAGCGGGCAAATGAAGTCCTTCTGGTGGGCCTCGGGTCAGCCCCCTGGGCATTCATGCGTCGTAGACGACTAGAGAACCAGAGAAACGCGGACAGGAACAAGGTAGCCCGGGCTCCAGACTCCGTCCCATGGGGAAGGGGGCGGAGAAGCGGTCCTGGAGGTGTGCTTGGCCCTCCGGGGCACAGCGGACGCCCTTCCCAGGGCTGGTCTGCGAAGGCGCAGCAGGGGCAGCCCTCCATGTCCCGGGTCCGGATCCCTCCGGTGGCTTGTCACTCAGTTGCAGACCCCGGAGGGAGCGGCCAGGTGCCGGGCAGGAAAGGGCTAGCGCGGGGCACAGCCTGGAGGTCCTGTCCGAAGAACCCTCTTCCTGGGGCGTAGGGCTGCTCCGCAGGGGATGCCCCACCTGGGCACTGGCTTTTCCCAGAGGGCTTGGGGCTGCAAAGGAAGGAGACCGGGGACCTGAGGCTGGAGCCACACGCCCTCCTTCTGGAGGGGCGGGCAGGGGGCTTGCAGGCGCGCAGCCAGCGCTCGACGCGGGGCTTCTGTTTCCTCCCCCTTCCTGGGCTCCAGTTTTAGGAGGAATGTTATTGTTTAAGGAGACCCTATTGAACTATTTCCTGCTCATTGTCACCTTTCCTGCGCTCTCCTGACGGAGTTTCTCACCGAGAGGTAATAAACCGCCCGCTCTCCCGGCTGCCGGGCAGGGCGGGAAAGCGCACCCGAGCCCCGCGGGCGGGGAGTCCCAGGCCAGCCCTCCCCTCCCGCCTCCCGCAAAAGCAAAGCCCAGCCAGCCAGACGTCCAGCAAACCGAGACTCCGGATCCCACCCAGGGCTCGAGCAGCTCTCGTCATCGAGCTCCTGTGTTTGTACGGGAAGCGAGAAAACGTCCTAAAAGGGGTCTCTTGGTTGATTTCCGCCCCTCTCCCTCTCTCGGCAGGGACTCCGAGCGCAGGGCTCCTTTTCCCGGAGGGTGAGGACCTCGCGGAGCGCGGATCGCCGGCGGGCTGGCCAGTCTCAGGGGTTAGAGGAGGGCCCTGAAGAGCCGCGGGGCGAGGGACGCGTCGGGACGCCGCACGGCCCGGAGGAGCGCGGAGCCCGGCAGGCGGCGAGGTCAGCGCGACGCGCGCGGCAGAGAGACGCGTCCTCGAGCAGGGCTGCGCGCGCCCGTCGCGGGCCCCGGGGGGCGGCGTCGTGCGCCTGCGGGCCTGGCACCGCCGCCGGCCCCGTCGCTCAGGGAGAGCCAGGCGTCGGGAGCGTCGCGGGCGGCCGGCAGCCCCTCGGGGACGAGCTCGGCGCCCGGCCCCTCCACCCCCAGCCCGCCCCCGGCCCCCCTCCCGGCCCACGGGGCCCGCCCCACCGCTTTGATGGAGGTGCAAACTTTTGGAGGGGGCGGAGGTGTAGGGGCTGGGCCGGGGCCCGGATTTACTTGAAACCCGCGCGGGAGCCCATTGTTGGCCGCCGCTGCCGGCCCTCCCGGCGGGTCTGATATGGCCGCGAGCGGCCAATGAGCAGCAGCCCCCGCGCTTCAAAGGGCGCGCGGCCCAATCCGCTGCCCGCCCCGGCTGCCGCCGCGGCTCTATTTATGGAGAGGGGACCCGGTTTTCTCTCCCCAGAGACCCACTCTAGCTGCGCCTTGCGGGAGTTCAAGTGGAATAACCTCCCCCACCCTCCCCGCCCCTCCCCCACCCTCGCCCTCCTCCTGGCTCCGCGCTGAGTCTGGGCCCCAACGGCCCCTTTCCCGGGAAAAGCGGCCGCCACGGGGGTGAAGGTGGCTCTCGGGTAGCGAGTCGGGCTTCGGGGGGCGGCGGGGAGGGGCGGGCGGGAGGATGAGCTCCCCCGGCACGGAGAGCGCGGGGAAGAGCCTGCAGTACCGCGTGGACCACCTGCTGAGCGCCGTGGAGAGCGAGCTGCAGGCGGGCAGCGAGAAGGGCGACCCCACGGAGCGCGAGCTGCGCGTGGGCCTGGAGGAGGGCGAGCTGTGGCTGCGCTTCAAGGAGCTCACCAACGAGATGATCGTGACCAAGAACGGCAGGTAGCGCGCCGACCGCGCCGGGGGCGCGGGGCGCCCGGGCTGCGAGGGTCCCGACCGTCCAGCGACTGTTCTCCTTGTGGGGGTCTTATGGCTCGTTTCCGTTCAGGTTGGAACGGGGTCTTGTGGCCTCCAAGTGTCACTCTTCTGGGGTTCCCCCCGCGGACGATTGGGGTGAGGGACAAGTCGGAGGGGTCCCCAGGCCCCCCGCGCCTTGTCCACGCTTGCCCCACCCAGCGTGGCCCAGGGACAGAAACCCTTGACCGGGTCCTCCCCGTCCCTGCCTGCGAGGCCGGGCATAGTGTAGGGGACGCCTGGGAACCTAGGAGGGCTCTGGGAAGGGGGACTTTGGGCGTCCCTTTGTAAGCTCCGAAGGGGGCGCCTCCTCGCTTCGCGATGACAGATGTCTCCGTCCCGTGCTTTCTGCGGTGGCTCTGCCGGGTCCGGTCCGGGTCCTCCTGCGGCGCTCCTCCTCCTCTTGCAGGAGGATGTTCCCCGTGCTGAAGGTGAACGTGTCCGGCCTGGACCCCAACGCCATGTACTCCTTCCTGCTGGACTTCGTGGCGGCCGACAACCACCGCTGGAAGTACGTGAACGGGGAGTGGGTGCCCGGGGGCAAGCCCGAGCCGCAGGCGCCCAGCTGCGTCTACATCCACCCCGACTCGCCCAACTTCGGGGCCCACTGGATGAAGGCGCCGGTGTCCTTCAGCAAAGTCAAGCTCACCAACAAGCTCAACGGGGGAGGGCAGGTAGGTGTGACCGGGCCGGGGGCGAGCGCGCGCGGGCCGCACCTTCCCGCGGCGGTGCTTTGCTAGGGACGCTGCTCGCACAGGAGGCGACATTTGTCCTGGAGACCCTGCCACAGCCTTCCTCAATTAAGCCTTCGGTGTTGTTTATAGTAAACTGATGACGGTAACACCAAGGCGGGGAGGCGGGGAGAGGACCCAACACCTCGCCTTTGAAGACAGACATGTGCGGAGTTTTGGGGAACTTAGGCATTCTAGCCTTCACCCTTCCTAGGGGCGCAGAAAATAGCCTTGGTGGTGTGTAGATGCCACTGTACTTACTGCCTGAAGACGGAACCAATTTGTAAATTTGTCCTTTTCTGAAGAACATCTATACTTGGGGACTTTTACAGCAAGCGCGATCAAGCGCAGGCATTTAAAGCTGTCCGTAGTCAGCCTGGAAGCTTTATAACTTTATTTTATACGGTCAACGGATTTTACGATGCACATTCATTGCCTTTAATAGTGTGCAGCATCTCACACTCCTTTTTCCAAACTAGTCCTGAGACACTCACCAACTTCAGTGGTCTCTCTTGCGAGCTGCGGGATTTTCTGCATCAGGGATGTGTTTTTCTCCTCACCAGCAGGACAAATGGACATTTTGTTGCCTTAACTGTAGGACTTTGTCATTACTCCCTTACTGGTGTCTCCTTCAGATTATGTTGAACTCCTTACATAAGTATGAGCCACGAATCCACATCGTGAGAGTCGGGGGTCCGCAGCGCATGATCACCAGCCGCTGCTTCCCAGAGACCCAGTTCATAGCCGTGACTGCTTATCAGAATGAGGAGGTGCGGTGTTGGCGGGAGGGAGCCGTGGCGGTGGGTGCGGGGGCTGTTGCTCTGGAGATTTCTGCAAAGGTGGAGCTCATGTGTGATGAGCGTACTTTTAGACGGATAATCCGTGCCTTTTCAAATAATTCAGCACAACTGTAAAATTGGGACAGAGGGGAGAACAGTTCAAAATAAGTTCTCATTCTAGCATTTCCCCCCTTTATTTTTCTGTAACTATCTAAAACTAGAAGGCATTTACTAAATGATCAAAATGAAAACATGCATAAAACTAGTAGGTTAAGTGCTGTGGAATTTTCTTGAGAACAAGGCTTAAGTGAGAGGGGGGCATTGTCTTACTTTGGAAATCCTCCTGAAAGGGAAGGGGGGTATCCCTCCAAACTAGGTACAAAGCACTCACTGTCTAGTGCCCTTAAATTTGTAAGTCCTTCCCCAAAGTGCAGACTCTTTGTGATCCTATGGTTAAGTTGTCAGTGTTGACCACGAACTAGAAACAGATCGCTATTTCCCAAGCAGTCCCAGTTCTGTTTTGAGCCATGTTTGTTTGGTATGTGCACACAGAATGCTGTTGGTAGTAGGTTAAATTTATTGTGAATTCTTTTCAGAAATGTGCTATTCTTATGAAATACTATAATTACTCAGCCCCTTCAGACCCAAATAGAAAAACACACCTGGAAAGAAGTCTGATTATATTTGAATATTTAAAGGGAGGTACTGATGTTTCCCAGTTTCTTGGTGCCAAATTAAATCCTCTGGCTAACAAGCAATATACTAGTAAAGCAATTTCTTGTTTTACAGATCACAGCTCTTAAGATTAAATACAATCCATTTGCAAAAGCTTTCCTTGATGCAAAGGAAAGGTGAGAGAATTCTCCAGATGTCCTTTGGGAAAGATGAGACCTTGCTGCAAGTGCCTTTCCTGAATGTTGTCCTTTTGACAGTTCAATACACTTTTTTGACAGAAGTGATCACAAAGATCTGATGGAAGAGCCCGCTGAGAGCCAGCAGCCCGGGTACTCCCAATGTACGGTTTGTTGCGCTTTGCCCCATGTGCCTAGTTTGGGGACTAGAAGCCAAGAGCTAGGAGCTGGAGATGAAGCAGGGAGAGGTTTAGGGAGGGGGCAGACTAGCCTTCTGTGATGTTGAAGCTGTGTATGGGGGGTCTGAGTGGGCTTGTGGATCTCACCCAGCCCATGGGACTCTGGCGCAGAAGTCTGGGGAGGATTTACCTGGGCTCCTGTGTCCCAGCCGCTGGGAGGATTGTTGAGATTGTGGCAGGCGTCTAGTCTGCTGGGTTGGGCAGGGGGAGAACGCAGCTTGCTATATCCGCTTTGAGATGTTTCTGTTTTTGTTAGTGATTGAAAACTGAATGATCATCTTTGGGGGGATGCCTATAAGCAAGTGTGGCTTTCCGTTTGGGCCACCTCGGTTCTCGGTGTGGTCCGCTAATTCAAGCTGGTTTCTGTAGAACTGGTGGCTCATAGCATGGGGAAGGTCTGCTTCAGGTCTGGCTTCTGTTGGAGTTTTGTGAGCCAGAGCAAAGTGATGCAGGCCCAGGTCGGGGCGTCTGTTAGGAGAAAGTGCTTTGTCTAGCCTGCCCCTGCAGACAGGGAGGGGACGCGTTTAAGTAATGACACTGGGGAGAGGAAAGCTAGTGTCTGCTGGTCATTTCAAGAGGCTGGATGATTGGCATGTAATGCTCCTGAAACAGTTGTGTTTTCTTTTGTACCTTCCTTCCTTCCTCCTTCCCTCCCTTCTTTCTTTCTTGCTTCCTTCCATCATCTTCTGGGCTAATTTAACAAACAGCCGTTCTAAGGTGGCTCATGGGTGGCCACATAAGAGTAGAATATGAGCAACTGTTGGGGCAAATGATGGGGCCGCCGAGCTCTGTGAGCATGTTCCCTCATTTAAATATCTGAAGAATTGTTTGTGGTTTGCAAATTGGAGCCAGGGTATTTGTCCCCCTACAGCTTGCTTTTCTGCATAAAAAAAAAAAAAAAGAAAAGAAAAGCCCAACATTCTGAAAAAGACAGTGGGGAAGAAATTGGAGTTTTCAAGGGCAGGACAGAATTGTAATGAATTTCTGATTGACGCGCATGTGAGAAACGTGAGCCCCAAAAAGCAGCCGCGTGAATGGGAGTGAGTAGCCCTGGCAAGGAGGCGCCCTCCGCGCAGCTGTGGGCCCAGGGAGGTGCAGGGGAGGAGCATACACAGCCTGCGTGGCCACCACTGACTGTCCAGTGTGCGTGATTCTGGATTTTGCCTGTTTTTAACCTTTCATTCATGCTCTGTTTTGGGCCTTGAAAGCTGGGCAGCCTGGCATGGAGGTCGGCAGGACTGGGGCAGGTTTGAGTGGGAGTGGCTGGGAGCAGCAGGGCCGGCTGGCGCTGGGGTCTCCCAGTTTCCTGTGGTGCCCCGTGGGTTTGGAGACCTTGGTCAAACTGTGGCCTCTGGTGCGGAGCTGAGGCCACAGTGCCTCAGACTGGGCTGGGTGCTCAGTGTCAGGTCCTGATCCTCACTTATTCAGGGACCCTGAGGAGACAGCCTTAGTCCTGTCCTTTAAATGATGGAGGCCATGCAAATGCCAGTCACTCAGCATTCTTTCCTCACAGCAGGGGGGTGGCTTATCCCTGGAACCAGCACCCTGTGTCCACCTGCCACCCCCCACCCTCAGTTTGGAGGCCCCCTCTCTCTTCCCTCTGCACATGGCTGTGAAAGGTACCCTGCCTTGCGGAGCCACCGTCCGTCCCCCTACCCAAGCCCCTACTCGCATCGGAACAATTCTCCAAGTAAGTCACAGGACCAAGCAGGCTAGGGGTTGGGGGGTGGCTGGAAGACTGCTTCTGGAAAGGCCTCGTGCAGGCGCCCAGGGGCCACACCCAGGCCAGCTCTCTAGTAGCTCCAGGATCCTGCATTTCATGCCCAGACTGCTGGCTCGCCCACAGGGAGGTTGCCACCCGGGCTTTGGTGCTGACTGTGGCTCAGTTATTGCTGAAGCTTCTTTTCTCCAGAGCTGCGGGTCCACCTGTAGGTGCCCAGGTCTGGACATGTCATGAGCCTCTCCGAAGTGATGGTGTTGGGTCAGCCGGTCATAAGCACTTGTGGCCCGACTAGCCCTGGGTATGATTCTCCAAGTGGCCACCAAGTATGCTTCTTCACATGTGCTGCCTGGACTAGCAGCAGGGACACCTCTGAGAACTGCCCTAGATTTACCGAGTCAGAAGCCCCAGGGGCAGCTCAGCACTTAGCATTTTAAGAAGCTGTCCAGTGATCCTGAAGCTGCTTAAGTACTATGAACACTGCACTAGACTATTAAGATACTTTGCCTAATTCTAATACCACGTATACCTAGACTTAATTTTGTCTGGCTCCGAATGGGCAAAAATAGCTAATGAACACCGTAAAACAATTGGTCACTTAAAGCTGATTTGAAGCGAAAGGAGCTCATTTGGTAAGGAAATAGTCATTGGGCTTGTTCAGTCAGAGGCTGGACACTGGGGCTGGAAGATCATAGTTATAATTTTGCCTGGAGTAATCTTTTCCAAAGCCCTTTCAGTGCTTAAGAAATAATGCTTTTGGAAAAGGCTGGTTAAAGTTACATTTATTTTTATTTTAAAGATAATCAATCCCCAATCAAGTGACTGGAGAATTAAGTCTCTACGGGGCGTCTATTGGTCTCATGATAAAAAGCCTGGCAATAAGTATTTGCCTTTGATGACCAAATAAGCAGGCTAATGGATTATGTTCTGTGTTCAATATCACACATGCTCAGAGAGCCCATATTTGTATCAGCTCCCTAGTTGGTAGTATCTCACTGCATCTTGGAAGAAGCCCCCCTCCCCCACCACCACAACGACGCTTTCTTTCATCCCATAGCCTATTCTGACAGTTCATCTGCGTGCTTATCCATGCTCCAATCCCATGACAACTGGTCCAGCCTCGGAATGCCCGCCCACGCCAGCATGCTCCCCATGAGTCACGGCACCGGCCCACCTACTGGCTCCAGGTAATGTATACCTGGGACATGACGCAAACGGTCCTGGGAGCCCGAGTGCCCGGGACATCATGCCATTTCCATTTGTTGGCCTTTGTCTGTGGGTGGCTGGTTTTTATTTTAGTTTTACACTAATCAGATATGTCCGGGGACCCCAGGTTGCTGGACTGCCGTGAGCCCCTGTCCAGGGTTTGGGGGGTTCCATGGCCCCTCTCAGGGTAGGGTGGTTGGAGCTGGGCTGTAATGAGGGGAAACCAGGGCCCCATCCTGGCTCTGGCACTTACTGGTTCATAAACTCTCTAAGCCTTGTTTCTTCGAGAAAAGTCGCTAAATGACCACAGCCTTAGGCTGTCTTTACAGGTTTCTTGGTCAGTAGACGGATTGTGAAGAACTCATTTTGATAGGAGCTGTTAAGGAAAAATAAATTGTTGGCTTTCTGCATATAAAGTTATCAAAGTCCTTAACATATATGCTGGTAACTAGTAAAGAACGATGTCCATGTTATTATTAACTTGAAAATTACGTAGAGGGGTATTGTCTTAAAAGATGAAGCTGATGGGTAAATATGTTGCATTTCTTCATAGGATTGTTAGAACAAAAAACAGAAATCTAGACATCAACTCGTTTTTTAATAAGGAAATGGGCCCAAAGATAGTAAATTAGAGTAAATGTCTTGGTTCACAGCAGAGTGAGTCTGTAGACAAGTTATCTTGACTTCAACAGTAATGCAGTTTATTGTATGTGAATGTCATCTGAATTCTTTTTGTCAAGGAAACAATTCCTTTATAGTAAGAGTCTAATGGCCTACTCTTTAAAATAAAGTTAGCAATGTGCAAACCAGCAAATGTTTCAAGGGCTCCGAGGTCACTTGGAGACATGCATGCAATTGGTATGACTTGCTCGCAGGGGTGCCCCACCGAGGTAGGTCTCACTGGGTCTCAGAGCTTCGCTTCTTTCCATCTGTGAAGTGGGAATGGTGACCTACCTGGGCTTACTGCAAGTTCATATGCATCTGAAATACAGGATGTGGGGTAAATGATACAGAGCAATACAGCACAGGTCTCATTATTTATTTATACAAGGACTGTTCTGTGACAAGGGATTTTTTTAAAAACAGTATTAGCATAGTTTAATGCTGTCCAAACCCATGTTCTTAGACTGAAGGATTTAATACCTATTTCTAACTTTTCCTTTCACAGATTTGGAAGCAGCCTCCAAAGGAGGCACAGGCCAATCTGAGGCAACACAAGTAGTTAAGGGCAGATTTGCTACCAGGTCAGACTCCCAGGTCATTTCTCTGCAATGGGTCAGGCTAACACACTTAGGGCTTCACAGCACGCAGGGCAGGGACAGTGCCTAGCTGGAGTTGCCATGCAGAATGCCTCTCACAGCCCCGTACTTCAGGAGGGTGTTGTCTGCATCCCAGGAACTGCTGCAGGGGTTAACACATGCTTACCGACATCCTCTGAAATGTGTGACTCTTGTGTTGTGGGAGTTTTGACTCTGAACAGAGCTCTCAAGTACTGGCCAGGAGTTTTTAGAAGCTAAACTCAACAGTGCTCTGCCAGGAGCTGTGTGGGTGCAAACAACCTTTTTAATCAGCTTTTCCAGTGATTTGTTTCTTGTGAACAGATTCAACGAGAACTCCTCTACACCTGAGTATGGTCTCCTAATAGGAGATGGACGTTTGAAAGACACCTCATAGACAGGTTATGAGCAAGAGCACAGGGCCTGGCGCCTCTTCTCTGTCTCCCACCAGTCTGAGTCTCTCCACTTTTCCTTTGCAGCCAGTACCCCAGCCTATGGTCTGTGAGCAATGGGACCACCACACCTAGTGCACAGATGGCGGGGGTGTCCAACGGGCTGGGCACCCCGTTCTTCCGGAGCTCCTCTACGCACCCCGCGCCCCTCACCCACCCAGCCTCGGCTTCTTCCTCCTCGGGATCCCCTCTGTATGAAGGGGCCCCCACTGCCACAGACATTCCCGACAGCCAGTACGATGCCTCGGCCCAGGCCCGCCTCATAGCCTCATGGACCCCCGTGTCACCACCTTCCATGTGAAGCAAGGCCTGTGTCTTAGAAGACACAGTGGCTTCTCTGTTGTGGCCAAGTGTTGATCTGATTGATTTATTAGGTTCCAAGTGCAGTCTCATGGGTCCAGGCAAGGAACAGGCCTTTATTAGCCTCACTTTAAGATAAGAGGAGTAAACATGGTCTGCCCTTTATCACGATCCACCCCACCAACCGTGGTCTGCAGCAGCCGTGTGCCTGGGCCCTTCTTGCTGCAGGTGAGTTCAAGTGCAGGAGCAGTGCAGGGGCCCAGCTTCACCACGATTCACAGGAGCAGTTGTTTGTCAGGGTCCAGAGCGTTTGATTTCTCATGCAGCACGCAGATGGCTTTGGCACGTCAGAATCTGAACTCCACCAGCTCCCCTTCAGGAGATAAAAAATACACCCTTAAATCTCTTCCTTGTTGCTTTCCAGTAGTTTTCAGGCCCTGTGGTGGCAGGTTTCGTAGATGGAGCTGAGCTGTGAAGGACAGACGGACGTCCTAGGCAAGGGAAGCAGATTTTAGTTGAAATGCAAGTTTGCCTGCTCTGCCCACTAGAATGTTTGTTTCGAGCATAGGTAGCTAATCCCTTGTATTGTTAAACTGACAACTGTATTTTTCTTTTGAAAAAGTAGCCAGAGACAATCAGCAGAAAGCGTTTTCTGCAAAATAAAGGCAATATGCAAAACTTGGTTGGTTTTTAGTTATTACTCAGACCATTCATTCTAAGGTGAGATTCTGCTGTTCTGAAAAGGACCTTGTCCCCAAGGAGCATTTTAATCTATTATGAACTTTAATATTTTTCTAATCAGCTGCAGAACTGGAAGTGAAATTTGCATATATTAAGTTCTAATTGCTTCAAATATGCAAAAGATCTTTCATAACTTTCCAGGAATTTAAATTGTCAATGCTGAATCATGTATGAACACAGATAATGATGGAATGTTGAACATACCGATGGCATAGAGGTTAATATGGGACATCACCCAATTCAAGCGAAAGTACACACAGTGAATTGGCAAAAAGTTAGTTTATAATAATGGTAAGATGCAGTTGCTGCTGTGGCCCAAACAGTGTGGCACTTGTAATTATCTTCCCTGCCAGGTGTTCTCAGGTGACAGTCAGCCCTCTCGTGCCATCGACTGGGGCAGTTTCTCCATCTAGTGGCAGAGTCCTTTTGACACTACTTGTTTGAGTTTGATATTCTGAACCTCTGCGTTCCAGAGGTTACAGATGGCAAGTCCCTGAGTGCAGGCTTAGAGTGGCGCCATGGACGTATGTGGTTATGGACTGTAAAGCGTAAGTGAGAAAACGAGGGGCGGGGGTCATTTTTTAGTCAGCAATGCTAACTTACTGTCTCAGGCATCGCCGCCAGCTGCTCAGTGGGCTGAATTCTTTCGACTCCAGTCCTTCTAGGACAAAAAGTAATTCATTTGCCTTGCTGAATGTAAACCTAGAATTTAAGTATAAATCACTGAATTTTTAGTTTATTTGTGCCTGCTCTCCAAGTGGAACATGCTTCTTGGAAAAGATTTGCCACTTGGTTTTTTAATAAGGTTTTTTAATAAGAACTTTGCCACAAGTTCTTCTTGGTTTTTACTCCTAGGTTTTATTGCTACTCAGGTAGGAATACTCCAAATCAGAAGACTTACTGACATAAACATATTGAAAGCATATCTTTTAAATAAACCACTGCCCAAGTAGAATTGGGAGATAAAACCAATCCCAGTGTGGACTGTGGCCCCTCCCCAGCCCAGGCAAAGGGCCTGCCGGGCTGGGGCCTGTGAGGGAGGGGGTGGCCCTGCTGTGGTCCCCGGGTCTGGGTCCACCTCACTGAGAACTCAGTGTCCCCCAGTTCCAGACTGCTCTGCCAGGATGGCCCAGGATCTTGTGTTCCTGCGGTCCACCCAGCACCTGCCCTGCACAGGCCTTCCTGGGTGATAATATTTGAGGACTGACCTGCCCAGGTTTGTGCAGTTGTTCCTGGATGACACCATCCCGGGCCGGAGCTGCCAGAGGGAGACTGAGTCACACAGCCCTTCGTTGCTCTGGTGGAAAGTGGACAGGTCTCGACACATTTGAGTTTCTGAAGGTGACCCAGAGTTCATAGTCAAAGAATCACAATTTTAATGAGTCCCACAGTATCTTTCTGGTCATGCACTGGGGTAGTGGCAGCCATGTGGAGCAAGAGGCTACAGCTGGGTGCAGAGGACCTGGAGTTGAGCACTCCTTTGCCTCACTTGCTGTGGCCCCCAGGAAAGTCACTTATCCACTCCAGAAATTCAACTTCATTATCTGAAGACTGGGGAAAGAAAAGATGTATCCATCAGGGTTGTTAAGAGAAATGAAAGAAATAACAATCTTGGAAAGTGGATGTAAACAGCAGTGTGTACCGCAGGCATCGTAGTTAGGGTTCCGGGCCAATAAAACGAGGTATAGCTCCAGCTCTATTTAAGGAACCTTAGAAGACATTGCATATATGAAACACGCAGTGAAGATCCTAGGTCATCTGTCCTGATTTGGGATGCAAATTTCTTTCACATCTGGAGGTAAATGCCTGTGAGTTATTTCTCTACTAAGATTCAGTTAGGCTGGCAATTATCTGTGAACAAAAACTATGTAGCCCAATTTTAAAAAGGGAATTAGACACTCTGAGCTCCATGTCTTCAGGGTTGGAGGGGGGACTAACCACCAACCCCTCTGTATGTATATAAGGTGAACATAACCTTTTGAAAAATATTCTCTGTGACTGTCTTAATATGTGTGGCCTGATTGTTTTATTATATATTTTTTTCTTTTTTGGGGGAGATGGCAGTGTGATAGGGATTAGGGTTTCTAAAAGGAAAAATACCATTTGAAATATATATTTAAAAGATGAAATTTTAATGAAAATATTCCTGACTGGGAATGTGGGTAAGTAAATAAAGGATATTTGTACAAGATCAGCATGATGCATCTGTAATCAGATTAAAATCAGAGATAATTATAGCATAATTAAGACTGTAAGTTAACATATTTAGAGATACAAACCCCAAATTCTATTTTTTAGCATAATATTATATTATTAAAAAGTTGTGTATTAATAAACTGGAAAATTACAGTGCTTCATAATAAAAAGACTCTCCTTGGATTATGGTAATATACCTGGAAACCTAAGAGCAGTTTGTTATTAAAATCCTTTCCCCCTGTCCCCAAGGTTATAGTTCTGAGTAAAAAAGCTTTTTATCCTTATATTTAAATATGCTTAGAATTCTAATTTTTTTTCATTAAAAAGATGAGGTTAAAGACTGTCCTCTTGTTCTGATTGTGTAAAAAAATTAATTACAAATTTAGATTAAATAATTATATAACTATTATATAATTAGACTGCAAATTCAATATTTTTATGAGGGAAATTTTGTATAAAAATAATAATGCAGTATGTGTTTATAACATGTGTTTAAGCCAACATACAACAACATAGCTTTAGGGTGGCAGGGGAGGGAAACTATAGTAGTGCAAGGCTCTCACACTATGTGGAAGGTAGTAGAATATCACTTGAGGATGAACTGTGGTGAGTTAAAGACGACTGCCATAAACTCCAACCAACCATTACAATAACAAAGAGATGTAGCTAATAGGTCAATGAAGGAAATAAAATGGAATCATGGGAAATATTTGACTCAAAGGAAGTCAGAATAAGAGGAAAATTAACAGAGATGGGACAATTAGAAAACCAATAGCAAGAGGGTAATTTTAAACTTGGCCACATCAACTGTCATAGTAAATGGTCTAAGCAAATAAAAGGCACAGACTGTCAGATTGGATAAAAACACAAGACCTAACTATACACTCCCTGTAAAAAATGCAGTTATAATAGGAAGACACAAATAGGTTAAAAACAAAATGATAGAAAAAGATGCACCATGCTAGGGCCAGTCAGAACAAAGCTGGAGTGTTGGTGTCAATAGCAGACAACCAGGTTTCAGAGTCAGGACGGCCAGGCCAGGAGGAGGGCGAGGGGCACAGGATGGAGAGCCAGGTCGGATACAGAGCTCAGCCTTGCCCGGCTCACCCCCACCCCGGGGCAGAGGGCCTGCTGTCACTACGGGTGGGCCGGGCACTGGCTGCCTTTCTGATCCTTCCACGTTTCCAATGGGAACGTCTACTGTAGGGTGTGGGGGCAGAAGCCTTCCTTTATTTAGGATTCTGGCTCCCAGTGAGCTGCGTCCAGGCCTGGGACAGGTCGGTCAGGAGGCTGTGGATTTTAATCCTGATACTGTGAGGAATTGCTTCCAAGACGGCGGACAGTGACAGCTGGCACTGGTGGCCCTAAATCTCTGCTCTTCCTGGTCTCCATGGTATCCATGCTCTCTACCTACCACGGAATTTTCCAGCTTATTCCTTAAAAGGCAGACTCTCCTTCCCCACTTCTTCACATCCCAAGGTCAGCCACGTGACCCTCTTTACCCAGTGGACTGTGGGTCAAAGTGACAATATGCTGGTTTTGAGACCAGGCTTCTGCCATCTCCTTGAGAACTTCCCTGGGAGCTAAGCCCTTTCATACTGAGCAGAAGGTATCCAAGGAGCACAGCCACCTCCCTGACTTGCAGACCTGCAATGCCAAACAGCTTCCTCTGCAGGCGCATGAACACTGTTTCAAGTGCCTAAGATCTTCTGGTGCTTGTGATGCAGGAAGGCAAACTGATACAGAAATTGGCATGCTCGGGGGTGCCACTGTAGCCAAAACCTAAAATACGTGGTATTGGCTTTGGGATGCCTGATGGGAGACAAGGACACTTTTAACTTTGGGGAAATAGATGCCTGTATTCACTAGGACAGCACTATTTACCTGCCATCACCAGAAAACAGAAAGTGTGTCTAATGAACTTGAAGATTTGGGCGAGTTGACGCTGGATGTGTGACCTGGCTTCTTTTAGCTGCATCTGTGAAGGGTGAAAAGAGAAATCACCTCAGAGGAGCTGGTCAAGTTTCCAAGTGAAGCTTAGAGGGAATTTAGAGATTGCAGAACTGGCTGGGAAAATAAAACAATTCCTCATGTCCAGTCTGTGAAGCTAGGTGTCAAGACCAAATCAAGAGCAATGCCACCAGGACATGGTTTCAGGACAAAGACAAATCAAGGTCGAGGTGTAAACAAACTTTGCTAAGACTTTTGAAAGGATTATGGGGGATTCTCGAAAACCCTTCCAGCTGGACAAGGATCTGAAATCTTCGGGACTTGGTCTCATAGCTGCCTGATATATCCAGGTGACCATGCAGCCTGAGTGTCCCATCATGAATCAGATGACTTTCCCAGCATAAAAGTTTGGGCATGCGCAGCAGAGATCTATCATCAAAGGAAATGGGAGTTTTCACAGTTTTCAGCGTGACGTCTGTGCTGAGCTTGCAATGAAAGGGTGTGAAGGCAGGGACACCCAGAAAGGAGGAACAAGAGCAGGAAACATCTCTTTACCCAACTCAGGGAGCATTTTGAATCCCAACGTTTCTTCCAAAAAGAGGAATCTTGCATGGAATCCAAGTTGAAGTTAATTAAGAGAGAGAGCCAGGTGGATATTGTGCCGAAGTCTCAGACCAGCCTTCTCCCTCTTCCAAGCCACACACCCAAGATTTAGCAGAGATAAAGCCAGATT